ACTGGCTACTGTCACTACCAGAGCTTCAGAAGTCCTCAGGTGAGACTTCTGCTGCTGGAGTCAAAGGAAAAAGAAGTATTTCTTCACTTACAGGGATTAGCTGCTACTTACGTGCTTTTGAAATCACGTGCTTTTGGTGTTGAGATCCAAAAGACTAGCAAGAGGCAACACAACTGCCAGACCCAGGCATGAGAAACCTGAACCAGCGCCTACTGAAATGTCCCATCATCTCTTCCCAGTGACCACAGCGGCCTTTTCTTTCCAGGTTAACTCCCACTGCTGGGCAAGAGAACACGTTTGCAACGGCTTCGCTCTGCTTTGTCATCCTGCTCCAGAAATCTACCTCCTCCAAGGATCTGCTTGTACACATACTTCCTTTTATGCAATAACCAAAATCTTAAGCACAAGAAGTCCTGCTCCGACTTCTTCAGTGACGGCCTGTGATGTGGACGTGGGAGATGAGATTAAACCCTCTCCTCCCTAAGCCGTGTTTGGTCTTATCACTGCAACAGAAACCGAAGTAAGATGGTCAGCAAGATCCCCCTGTTTGCTTCTAGAACTTTCAGTGCTCTTTTATCGGTGGTGAGGAGGTCCCAGTACAAAGCCCAGGATGGCCACTTTGAGCTGAGGATCCCTCTGCCTTTGGCTCGCAAGGCTGGGATTACAGAAATTTTCCTCTGTGCGTTTACAAACTCTCCTGGGTCTATCCATGTGGCTAAAAGCATCTGGGTGTTGATGTGTGCGCCTGCCTGTTATCTGGTTACTACCGGATGTATCCTTTGTTGAATAGACTCTTTCCCTCTGAATTACCTTGGTATCTTTGTTAAAAATCAGCTTACCACATGGCTAGGGTTTCCTTCTGAATTCTCTACTGAAGACACCAGTCGGTGTCTTTATCAGTACCACACTGGCTGGCAGCAGCTTTCAAAGTTTTGAGACCCAGTAAATAAAATAGTTCCTCCAACCATTTTCTGGCTATTTTGGCCAAAACATTTTCATATGCACTTCATAACTACCTTTTTAATGTTAACCAGAATTTCTAAGTATTTTGTGCTTAATTGATAAATTTGAGAAGCCTTTAATATTTTCCAGTATAAGCTCTCTGTTCATGTAATTTGTGTGATGGTAGGACTTAAATCTAGAGCGGCTATAATCAACCCGAAATCCTTACTTTTTATTTATTATCTTTCACAGCCTGCTGTGGAAACCCAGTGTGTCTTCAGTTCAACTTATTCCCAAGATCTAACGTGCTTGGACGCTATTAACAAATAGTGTTATTTGAATTTTTCTTTTTTGTTTTGTTGTTTTTCGAGACAGGGTTTCTCTGCTCAACAGTCTAATCACCCTGGCTGTCCTGGAACTCACTCTGTAGACCAGGCTGGCCTCAAACTCAAGAGATCTGCCTTCTCTGCCTCCCGATTGCTGGGATTAAAGGTGTGCACCACCACTGTCCAGTGAAATTTTATTTTTCTAATTAACCTTTCAAAATTACTTAATTACAAAAACTGTTTTTAATCCTAATAGTTAGCTGTGTAGATCTTGAATTTTTCGACATAATTAAGTCATCTTCAAAGGGTTAGCTAGCTGACTAACCACTTTTGCCCAATTGGTGAGCTTGTTTCAGTGAGAGGTTCTGTCTCAGAAAAGGCAGAGCGCAACTGAGGAAGACATCTGGGGCCAACCTCCGGCCTCCACATGCACACATGTGCACATGCACCTGCACACATTGAGCACGCACGCAAGGAACACTATTCTATCTCCATGGGCCCTTTGCAGTCACAGGGTCTGTGAATTGTGCTGGCTGTAGGGCCACATTCTTGCTCTCCCAGCTACTCAGAGACTGAAACAAAAAGGATGATAAATCCTTTTTAAGGCCTGCCTGGGCTATGACAACATAAGCACCTTAGTGAGATCCTGTCAATCAAATAAAACAAAAGCCTGGCATGGTGGTGCACACCATTAATCCCAGTACCCGGGAGGCAGTGGTAGGTAGGTCTCTGTGAACTCAAGGCCAGCCTGGTCTATAGGAGCTGCAGGGCAGCCAGGGCTGCTACACAGAGAAACCCTATCTCGAAAAAACTGAGAATAAATAAAAAGGGGGTTGAAGACATTGCTCAAGGAAAAGAACTTGCCTAGTATGTAGGAAGGCCTAGGTTCGAGTCCGAGACCACGACAGAAGTAAAGGGCAGTGGCGGACTACAGCTAAGGACTGAGTGGATCCTCTGTGCCTCCACATGGAACACGTGGAGTTACTGCTTATTTCACTGAAACCTGACAAGACTTGCAAGCTGGAGATGTGCAGCTAATAACCTAGGTATTTCAGCACTCACTGTGACACCTTTGTTCTGGTCTTTTGTGTTGTCTACGTGCGTTCTGTTTTATTTCGGAAGCATGCTTTTATCTCCAGTATTTCCCCTGAGCTCTGTCAGCTCTCATGCACTTGCCTCTGTGGCTTCCCCACTCCTCCTTTACATCTGACTTTAGTGTGATGCTCTTCTGTCTTTGCTTCTTAAAACTCCTTCAGCATGTTTTCAAATGCTAGACTGAACCGTACGGTGGTACGGGTACCTGTGGACTAGCTACTGGGGAGACGAATCTGGGCAGCATAGGAACACATTCCTCAAAGACCAGATTACTGTTTGTTCTGCTTCACTGGTCAGCTTCCGCGATGTTCTCATAGTCTGTAGGTTTGTTATAAGAACCTGTGTTTTTTGCGAGCATGCTGGAAGTTGTAGTCTGTTTAACTGAAGACAGTTCCCTTTTTTTTCCCTCAAGCTTCCCGGGCAGGGTGGCGGGGAGTGTGGGCTTGGGCCAAAACTGTTTCTTGACATCACAGTTTTTTCTCTCCTCACTACAGTGCTTTCTTTGTCACTGTGAATTTGGGTTTATTTGGACACTTCTCTCATCAGCACCAGACCCTTTCCTTTACCTGATGAGATGGTTCTCTGCCCAAAGCCTCCCTCCCAGTCATCCAGACATCCCAGCACCACTGTTCCATTCTGCAGATCCCTCTGCTGACTGCCAAGACTGAAGGCCAGGCAATCTTTCCTGACTGACTGGCTATTGAATCCCCCTCATCAGAGATCAATGCCACCATCAGAGGCTCTTAGGACCATCAACTTTCTGTTACCTTCTCTCTGCTGCTCCTCCATGGCTGTTTCCACGTGATCTTGCTGATGGACTTAATAGAAACGACTCAAACGCCAGGATTCAGGAATAATCTACTATAGGTTTTAGAGAGGGTGTAGTGGCAAACTCTCTTGCTTTGCTCTCCGGGTTGCTACATGACGACTTGAGGAGATTAAAAAGTCACCTGCTGCTGCTTCCATCTTGCCCCTGAGCATTTTCTAAACTTTAAAGTGATGTATAATTTTCTTTTTACATTATAACATATTACTATAACTATACTTGTTATAGACAAGACAGTTTATGCTATAGTAATGATTAAATTTTAAGTTTCAGGGACCTGTCTTTCCTGCTTACTCCTGTGACAGTCTCATGCCTCAATCAATTTTCTGGGTGGCTTTCCTTCAGCAGAAATGTCTGTGCCCAGGCTACTTGACTCAGTAAAGACCCTGTTTATAACCAAATGAAGACAAAATCATGCTCAAACATGGCGCTTCGGTGCTGGCTCTGGAATTTACGTAGCGCTCTACATCTCGCTGGCCAGAACTGAATCACCTGTTCCGCACTAACTGCAAAGAGGATGTGAAGGCAGAACAGCACTAAGAATCTCTGCCCACATCTGGACAGCTGCCCAAGCGACCTAAGGAAGGCAGCTGGCTACATGAAACCTTCAAGCTGCAGTCTGTCACGTGTTGGTATGGACCCTGAGGATGTCACTTCATCAAAGTGGTCTTTGTTTTCCTCACTAGCACAGTACTGACTTAAGGACAATCATATCATTTTCATGAACAAGTCTAAAAAATTTTTTTTTCGAGACAGCGTTTCTCTGTAGCTTTGGAGCCTGTCCTGGAACTAGTTCTGTAGACCAGGCTGGCCTCGAACTCACAGAGATCTGCCTGCCTCTGCCTCCTGAGTGCTGGGATTAAAGGCGTGCACCACCACCACCTGGCTCAAATTTACAAGTTCCAGTTACACACACCACTACTTCTACCTTTTGGCACAACGAAGGGTTAAACCCTATACCTGGTGTGAAAAGTAATGCTTTGCAGTATGTAGTTCAGGTGTCCAATCCAGCATGTGCATGGCCCTGGATTCCACCTTCAGAATCACACGAGAAGATTCAAAGAAACAAAGCGTACTGTTGTAATTGAAGTGGGATTCCCCTCTGTATGCTGTAAACCACTGGTTAATGAATAAAGCTGCTTTGGTCTACTGGCAGGGTGGAATAAAAAAAGATGAGAAATACAAGCAGAGAGAGAGGAGAAAGTAGGTGGAATCAGGAAGATGCCATTTAGCCACTGAAGGAGGCAGATGCCCGGGAAGCTTACTGGTAAACCATGAGTCTTATGGTAAAATATAAAATAATAGGAATGGGTTAATTTAAGATGTAAGAGCTAGCTAGAAATATGCTAAAGTCATTGGCCAACCAGAGCTACAATTAATATAGTTTTTGTGTGATTATTTTGGGTCTGGGCAGTCAGGAAACAAACGAGTAGTCTCTGCCTACAGTAATTTAATGACAGTGTTCCCCCACAGGCTCATGTGCTTCACTGTTTTATCCCCAACTGGGAGTGGGTCTTGAGGATTGTCACTTGGATAGGTCTTGAGGTTTTTTAACTACTCAGTCCCCTTGTTGTCCAGTTTCTGCCTCCTTACTGTGGGTACAGTGTGACCAGGTGCCTCACTTTCTTGCTTCCATTCTTCCCCACAATGATGGATTGAGTACCCTGGAATGGTATGTCAAAACAAGCCTTTTCACTCTTAGTAACTTCCTGTCAGGTGTCTGACCAGAGCAACACAAGGGCACTAATACGTATGCCACAGTTTACAGCATAACTACAAGTATCCTAGAAATATAATACACAGGAGCAATGTAGCCTCAAGACAATGATTTTTATTCCTTTTGCTTATCATATTTGACAATATAAATATACTCATTTAAAAAATCCCATATTTAAATAACAATTAAGTTCATGAATGTTTACAAAACACAGCCTAACTACTTTCACTTGTAATCTTTAAATATCTCGACACTTCTAACATGGTCAGACATTTAAAAATATTGTTGAACTATTAATTTTAGACTATAAAACAGTAGCAATTTACTAAGTTCTTTGTTATAAAAATTAATATAGCAATTCTCAAAACTGAAAAAAAACTGAAAAAAAAATCATTTTGTGAAAGCCATACCACAGCACAGGCAACTATGCCATGTCTTGCACACGACATCTTAGAAAGGCACATTTTAATGACTAACAGGTGGTGCCCTAATTTGATATTCCACTCAAGTTTCCATTACCTCAAACCTGAGCTAATGGAAGGTCGGAAGAGGTAGGAGGACACAGGCTTCCAACTGACCACTCGGGCAGTGGTGCGCTCACTCATCACTTCCCGAGACTAAAGATGTGAAGAGGACTCTGAATTTGCTAATTTAACCACCTAGATACACTTTTCATACAAGAATAGCTCATTAAAAATCCTAAGACAATCAATTTACAAATGAAAGGTTTTGAGCCTGAAGCAAGACACCAATGCTTTCTTTTCTGTAGTCACGTTTTCCTTTTGGGCTCATTTCCAGGTACATGCCTTGGTGACTAAACAAAATCCAAAGAGCACACAGATGCTCAAGATGCAATGAAGAACAAAGGTTTAAATCAGTGTGAATGGTCCGAGTTACCTTCCTTTCTAATTCAGATGAGTCTACTGTTGCCAAGGCTTTCTGACCCTGGCCCCCAATTGAAATTCAGTATACACTTCAGGGTATGGTTTACTTTGCAGGGATGTTCAACACTAACTGAAGTACTAAACTGATTAAGATAGTATTCTGAAGTACTACTTTTCAATTATTTGATCCCATATGAGAAAAAAAAGGGAATTTTTTAAAGGCAATGTTGTAATTTTAAAATACTAGAGATCTACCTTAATTTCACATTATTTCATTTAACTCTCAGTTATCTCCTTTTTTAAAAAGGAGGGGAGATGTCCTTAGATTTTTCTCCCTCACTACGACAGAATAGTTCACTAGCAAATATATCAAAGTACAAGAATAATACGGCCGCCTGTCTGTCAGGGCCCAGCAATGGCCACCTTTGGGCACGTACTCCAGTTTTAAAACAGCAGCTTTCAAATGAAGCTTCATTCTTACTGCGTCCCTACTGACTGCTCTGTTAAGAGTCTACAAGAGCAGTTTCCAGCTTGGCCACCCTCAAAGACCTTTTGGAATGAATGGAAGAAGAGTCTTCTCATACTTAAAAAGTATATAATATGTTACGGTACTATCTTTCTCTTCTAATTGGAATTCTATGAACCAATTATAGTCATGCTAGCATGTGTAAACCACAAAATTACTTTTTAAAGTAATAAAAACAAAATACATTTTTCTATAAAAATACAATATAGGAGATATATCACTTCTTCCCTGAAATAGAAATTTAATATTTGGACAAAAAATCGTAAACTTTAGATTACATTCAAAGTATAGTATTATTTTGTATATATTTAAAGACGAATTATTTGAGGTTTTGGCAACTAGTGCTCTCAGCAGCAGATTTACATCAGTGTAATATTTTATCAGCACAGTAACACCACACAACTGTTCCCCTTACATCTGCTACCATGATGAGAAGAATGGCTTCCTGCAGTGGACCGTCTGGGTGAAGGAACTGCCGAGGTGTACAACCCGTCCCTGGCCGCCAGTCTTACTGCACTCCACGATCACGCACGGCATCTGCACCAGCTGCACCGGACTCTTGCCACCTCTCAGTGCCTGAGTGAGATTTAAGATCTGTGGAAAGACGAGAGACTCCCATCAGTTTGGAGTAAGTACTGTAAGTATGTACCATATATATGCATTTAACTACACATGGATGCCCAAGATAAGAATTTAAGCGGTTTTGAGCAGCTGGGAAACTACTGCAGACGTCCAGCAGCAGTGAGATCAGAGGTTTCATACGTCCCACTGATGGAGAACTTAAAGGCGGCTTCAAACGTCTGCCTAAACTCCTAACTTCTGTAATCCTTTCCGGGTGGAATTCACACGCTAGCTTTGGAGGTCTCCCAGTTAGATCTGATTTCATAATATTTACCATCACACTACTGTGTATAATTCAATAGTCAGTGCAAAAACCAGACTCATCTTCGATACAACACAGTAGCAAATGGCTGTATTGTATTAAATATATGCTCTTAGGAAGAGGACACTAGTTTGGAGTCACTAAAGGCGGTTTTCATCTCAAATCTTCCTTTTGGAACACAGCTGAACCAGATGGTAGTGCTGTGAGTGAAGAGGACCTTCAGGTCCACACCCACAGACCTAGGGCCTTTATCTCAGGCCCAAGTGCTCAGTGGAGAGTAAGACTGAAATGAAATTACGTGGTCTCTCACTCAGCACCCAACCTTGCTGATGTAACTGCTCTAGAAAAGCCAAGTCTGTTCCAGGTGGAAAATTACCTCCTGGCAGAAGAATCTGATATGGAAATGTTTGTGCAAGTGTTCTGAGGAAGAAAAGGTAGGACACTCAGAAAATAGTCATCAAAAGGGGGACAAAGGGGGCTGAGGATGTGGTTCAGTGGGAGAATGTTTGCCTACATGCATTGTGCAACCCGATTCCACATGGAGTGCTTTCAAGGGGCAGGAGGCAAGCATTTAGGCTGGGCAAACAACTGGTTAAACAAACAGCACACAAGCGGGAAATAGCTAATTTACAGGGAGAGAGAGGTGAACTACTACTAAACCAACACCAGGTATCATCTGAGCTGTCCAGGCTCAGCATTACAGGTAGCACGAGGAGCGACACTTCGTGTCGCAGACATTCTTAATAAACAGTATCAGTGACCTACCTGGCCTCTCATCACAGACATCTGACTTTCAAAAGCAGCTCTGTCAAATCCTTTGTCAGTCTGTTGCAGAAAGTAGGGAAGGGGGAGAAGGTTAATACAGTTCCAAACACCAACAGCTTTAAAACAAATACCAAATATTAAAACAAACTCTTCTATGTAGAAAAAAAAAGGCCATAAGAAAGTTTTCCAATTGAAAACAAATGAGAAAAGAGTAATCTTTTGTTTTTTGAGACTGAGTTTGAGTTTCTCTGTATGTAGCCCCAGCTGCCCTGGAACTCACTCTGTAGAACAGAAAGGATTTAATATGAACAAATGGGTTTATGCTTTTTATAATAATTAAATGCTAACAAGCCCGAAAACATACATTACAATTTAAAAAGTAATTTTGTAAAAATCCAGCTTTGAAAAAGTCTTGATTTACTAGTGAATAGTAAACATAATTTTACAGATGTATGAATTATAAAAACACAATTGCTAATTCTAATTCCTCTCTGATATGTTAGGTTGTGCTGTAAGCAACACAAGTAGTATCTGCAAATGAAGCTTAATACAGCGTATTTTTAAAAATTGCATTTTCTTTGACAATCAAAACTAAGTAAAAGTAGTATATGGATAAATGTTTGCTTAATTTTTTCCTCTAAGAACTAAGTATACATCTGTACTTCTGTAGCCAAGAGTAAGTTATTAGCACGCAATGAAAATAATGCTAGGGCTGATGACTCAGTGATTAAGAGTCCTGGGTGTGCCTGCAGTTTGATTCCTAGCACCAACTATCCCAGGGAATCTGACACCTCTTCTGGCCTCCTCTGGTCTCCATAGGCACCACACACAAGACTTGTATGCAGACAAAACACCCACACACTGACAAAATTTTTTTTTTTTTGAGACAGGGTTTCTCTATGTAGCTTTGAAGCTTGTCCTGGCACTAGCTCTGTAGATCATGCTGGCCTTGAAGTCACAGAGATCCTTCTGCCTCTGCTTCTCAAAGTGCTGGGATTAAAGGCATGCACCACCACTGCCTGGTCTAAATAAATACCTCTTAAACACTGGTATATGTTTATATTCCAAATCTGGGCAATGAATTTGACTTTTCTCAACATTAATTTCACCAAGAATTAAATGATAAAAATAGCACTGTAGGAATGTTATAAGTTTAAACTTAAATACGAATAAGAAAGCATAGTGTTTATTATGAACAAAAGGCTTATGTGTGCCCAATGTGATGAAATCTCATCTCTGCTATTACGGCATTTGGACATGAGGTCTCTGAGTGGTAATCAAGTCATGAAGGTGGACCTCCTAGGAATGGGGCTAGTTCCCTTGGAAGCAGCAGTTCCAGAGCTAGCTTGCTTTTACAACACGTGAGAATGCAATAAATGAGAAGTCAATGCTAGCTGGAAGAAAGGCGCCCAGAAGCTGACCATGCCCCCCAGCCTGACCTCCGGCTCCAGCCCCTAGAACTGTGAGGAAGGCGTGGGCACTGCATGCGTGGCCCCGCCTGTGGCTGCTTCTCAGAGCAGCCTGACCTACAGTCCTAACATTCATTCGAAACCTCAGTGGTCAAACGCTTGTCAGCATGCTCAGGATCCCCAGTTCAGTCCTTAGCACCACAGAAATAAAAGTGAAAAGTAAAATTCAATGTGGAAAACAGTAATTGTATGCCCAGGAAGTCAGAACACCCTCCAAATTAAACCTTTACCTTGAAGAGTTCATAAAGATCTTCACACAAATCTTGTACAAAGTTCATGTCAGAGATATAGGGTAGAATCAAGTTTCGGGTTTCTTCAGAAAAAGGAACTTTGGCTTGAGGAAGCCAAGCCCAGTGAAACGGGTCTAGTGGAAAACAGATGTTAATGAGTAATGTGTAACAGCTTGTTCAGGCTCACATTTATCCCAGTCTTTCCTACAATTCCCAGCTTTTCCAATAAAGAAAAATGAAATTCGTAAAATACAATCATCCTTTACAACACAAGCTGTTCGGATTCCAGACTCAGATGGCCAGTCAGAATGACAAGGTACAGGATGGTCTTGTCTGAAGGTGTTCCATTTCTGGGTTTCACACAGTAAAGAGATGGGACTTGATAATGAGTTTAATTCAAACAGTCCTATCTCAAAAACCTGTACAAATAAGAAAGCATCATATTTGGGGCTATGAAACTGGTGGGAACCTGTAATCATTCACACACCCAGATCAAGTCCCATGGATCACAGCTCCTGCCTTCTCAGCTAAAAACGACCAGGAATTGAGGAACTTATAGTTAGAGGAAGCTCTAAAACTTTAAATAATTAAGAGGTAAATAAATGGCTTTAAAGGATAAAAAAGCATTCATGAGTCTGAGACTGGGAAGCAGTTTAGCAATAGACTAGGAAAACTCGTAGACCAGTGGAATCTTCTGGAAAGGGAAGAGGCATAGGTAGATTTCAGAATCACCAACTGGATACCTCTGCTTGTCCAGGGAATGTGAAATGCCCCTCAGAGTCCTGTCTGAACACCAGGCATGTGCTGGTGATGTCTGAGAAGCTGTGAAACCTTCTAGACATGGGGCTTATGAAGCTGATGTAGGGCTACAGGACTGGGACAAGGGAATTATAGTCTGCAGCTTTTTGATGGGTTAAAATGTGAAGCATCTGTTCCCCTCCCCCACAGAAGCCTCTAACTATATAGCCTATCTAGCCTGGAACAGTCATATAGACCAGGTTAGCCTTGAACTCAGAAATCTGCTTGCTTCTGCCTAAGAGTGCTGTGATTACAGGAGGACCGCCTCACAGGGACTGGCCGGCCTCATGCTTTTAACGTTTCCTCCACCATCCATTCCCTGTTAGGGATGAACTGAATCCCCTTAACTATGAGCCAGAATAGATTCCTCCCCCTTAGACGGTTTCAATAAGGCATCTGGTCATAGCAATGAGGAAAGTCAACTGCCCTTAGATTCATCCCTTATTTCTATCTTTGGCTTTCTTAGTACAGAGTGAGACTTAAACTGTGAGTTTTGCACATATGGCCCACATTCCTTTAAGCCGTTTCTTCTCTCCATTCTCTTAACAATTTCATTTAAAAAGCTCTTATTCTTTGTCTATTTCTCCTTCTAATACCTGTCCTTCAACTTCCACCATCACCCTTCACCTCCACCACCTCCACGTTCCTGAGCCTGCCTAAGGGACTCTCACAGCCCAAAGGAGTCAGAGTGCTTAACCAGAGAGAAGCCATGTCTCGTCTCTTTTGTGAAGTTCTTCCATTGTGGCTTTGTGGACACTATTTTCTCAAAGTTTTTTTTTTTCTGTCTTGGAAGGAAGGTATTCCCCATCTCTGCTGGCTTTCTCTCCCTATTTTAATGCTACTATTCCCTAAGACTCTATTAGTCCTTTTTCCCTTCATCCACTAGGTACTCAACAAACTTTATTGAGTATTTCTTTTCCTGGCATTGTGTTAGGCAACGGTGTTTGCTCTTCATGACTTCCCTGGATGACAGTAAATAAAGCCAGAGCTTCCACTATAAAGACAACAGTTAAAGCATCCCCACACCCTTAACACCAATTCTTCTGCAAACTCCAGACCCTTGATCCCCAACCACACATTTGGCAAAACTTCCCTGATGTTTTATAGGAAATTTACAAACCTACTACTTTAAAAAAGTAATTTGCATATAGGTTTCAAATGGTTAGTGGGAAAAATAAAATGCAACCAAGGCATTTCAAATCAGTTTCACAAAACACAGGAAAAGAAAAAAAAAGAAACAAATTAGAATTTATGGTAAATTAAAAAAAAAGTAAGAAAAGTCCAAATTTACTGACACTTTAAGCTACCCACTGAAAGACTCAGACTGGGTTAAAAGAAACCATCTGTTGCGTTATGTTATATAACTAAAACAAAACGGTAGAAGTTAAAAAGTATAGAATAAATACCAAGTAAATGCTAACAAAATGAAAGGCAGTACAGCAACACTACAACAGAAAAAAAAATAAAAGCAAAAAACAGAACAATAAAGTGTATTACATCTCACACAAAAGAACCCAGGAATATTAAACCCTGGGCCCTTTGCATATGAAACACGAAGTCACAAGATGGAAGAAGAAACTGATTTTTAAGACCTCTCAAAAGTTAACAGATTAAGTGGTTAAAGCCAAATGGAGGGCATTCTAGGACAATAACTAACAAGTTTTAATGAAAAAAATAAATAAAATGTTGTACCCAAACATATTCTTTCAAATATAGCCCTTTAAAGGAATCATGTTTATAATAACCAAGAAATTAAAAGTGAGAAAATATTCATATAGGTCATATTTATACATCATAGTACAGTACACTGGAAAACAGTACTAATAAACACATGCCAAGAATCTACTTATTCAGAATGTTTTATTTTGTTTTCAAGACAGAGTTTTTCTGTGTAGCTGTGGCTGGCCTTGAATTCAGAGATCTGTCTCCCTCTGCCTCCCAAGTGATGGGACTAAAGGTGTGTGCCACTACTGCCTAGCTAGATATTTTTTTTTATATAGAATCTTGAGATTAAAATATTTTTAAATGTCTACAGAGTGAGTTCCAAGTCAGCGAAGGCTACATAGAGAAACTCTGGCTCAGAAAAAAAAAAAGAGAGAGAGAGAGAGAGAGAAGGAGGAGGAGGAGGAGGGG